GAGCCCGGCCGCAGGCTGGTGAGGCCCCTTCCGGAGGGAGGCGTGCGCCGGGCGGCTGGGCGGGCGGAGGGGGACGCCGGGCGCGGGAGAGGCGCCTCCCAGGTGTTTGGACAGGCCGGGCGGCCCCTGCGGATCAAGAGCCCCACCTGAGCATCGCACTCATCGTCCCTGGACGCCGGTCCCCTTCCCTCCGCCCGCAGGCCCGCCCACCACCTGGGTGCCAGTGAGCGGGTGGGCGGCCGCGCCCGGACGGGGTGGGGGCGGTGGCGGCGGTGACTTCATCGCGGTGACGCGGGATTCCTCCCCGGGCCTGGCTAGAGCGGAGTCCCGGGTCTCCCAGCTTGGGGTGCAAGCCGCCGAAGGCCAGGTTGAGTTGCAGGGGGCTGGGGGTGGGGCCGCTCTGTTCCCGGCCGCAGGAACTATTTCTGGCCGGCCCTTTCCCTGGGGGTTTACATCCGCTAGGCATTCCCGGAAAGAGGACGGCGCTCCTCAGAGGGTGGCCCGTGCGCGGGCTTTGGGGGTTGAATCTGTGTCCGGAACCAGCCTCCCCAGAAGGCCCGGGACCTCAGAGCAGGCCCAGGCGCACGTTTGCGCGGTGTGGGGGCTCCCACGCCCCCTGGCTCTGTGGTAGGGGTCTGTGCCCTTTGTTCTTACCGGGCGGCAGCTACTGCCACTTGGTGGGCCAAGGGGCAGTGACAGGTATGGATCTAAGGCCCAGGGCAGGGTGCTCAGAGCAGGCGAGGGGTTCCTCCCAGGATCAGACTGTCCAGAATGTCCTCTGCCCTGCCCCTCCCTGGCCCAGACCAAAATACCCGGCCTGGCTGCTCCGCTCTCTGCCGCTGGGAGTGGCGTTGCCTGCTCTGGAAGCCCAGCCTAGGTCCACTGTCTGGGGCGGCCACAGGGAGGGGTGGCAGGATCCCATCCATCTAGCATGGGCCAGATCTCTGACCGGTTCTCGCCCTTCTAGCGAACCCTCCTGGGGAACTTCCGGCCACCTGTCTTACAGGGAGCCCTGCAAGCCGCCAGGTAAGTGCTGGGCGGGGCGGTGTAAGTCCAGCTATGGGCGTGGCTGTCTGGAAACGTGGCCCCAGGGCACTCAGCTGCTGTCTGCGCCCTACAGCCCTCCCCAGTGCAGTCGCCCCACAAGGGAGCGGGCTGGCTGTTCTTTGAGGAGGACCGCAGCACTTCTGGGGTTAGCGGAGCTGTCCCTTTCCAGCAGTGAGACCAGCAGAAGAGGGGACCCAGGCCTGGGGTGTGTCTGCCGGCCCTGCCGGCCTGTACGTCTGTTCTCGCCACTCGCTGGGAGGAAAGCCTGCCCTTTCACAGAAGCCTGAGGGCCACATGGCTAGGAAAGGGCAGGCCAGTCTGTCTCTGAGTGGCCTCCTCCCCTCCAGCAGCTGTATGATGTGCCATCCTGTGATGTGGGGCCTGGGGAATGCTGTGCGGTTCAGGCCAGGCCTGCATGAGCTCACCGCATGGTGCCTGCTGGGGCTTCCCACCTTGGTTGCTAGTGATGGGCGGGGTCCTCCGTGTCCCCTGTGCCCTGGGCATCGGCCCTGGCCTCGGGGTGGCTCAGGTGGGGCTCTCGAGCGTCCTCCCAGGAAGTGTCCTAGTTCCCATGGACACTCTTCCAGGGCCGTGGTTGACCTGGGCATCCGTGTCCCTTTCTGTCCCACTGGTGTCTGGCTGTCTTCCTGGTCAGGTCCTGGTGGTGTGGGCTATCTGAACGGCCCCCCGCCCCAATCGCAAGATGGGCGAGTTTCAGGAGAAGTCGACATGCGGCACCGTCTGCCTCAAGTACCTGCTCTTCACCTTCAACTGCTGCTTCTGGGTGAGCAGCGGGCATCCCTGCCTCTGGTCCCTGGTCCTCGACAGGAGCCCTGGCCTGGGCTCAGGTGCTGACTGACCAGTGTGCACTGCCCACAGCTGGCTGGTCTGGCCGTCATGGCCGTGGGCATCTGGACATTGGCCCTGAAGAGTGACTACATCAGCCTGCTGGCCTCGGGCACCTACCTGGCCACGGCCTACATCCTAGTGGTGGCTGGCATTGTCGTCATGGTGACTGGTGTCCTGGGCTGCTGTGCCACCTTCAAGGAGCGGCGGAACCTGCTGCGCCTGGTCAGTGGGGCATGGCTGGCACTAGGGGTGGCGGTACCTGGGCAGAGGTTCCCTCAGGGCTGCCTGGGGCTGGCTCTGGGGCCCTGACTGTGGAAGAGGGGACTGTGGTCGAGTGTGACACTGCAGGATAGCCTAGCAGTGTTTACCTGGGGGGGTGGTCCCAACCCATCTACCCAGTCCTGTGAATTCCCACATCCTAGCTGGGCCAGCCAAGGGAAGACACCAGCTCCGAGAAGAAGCATTGGGTAGCCCACAGAATGGGGGTGTCTGTGTCCTACCCCGCCTCACTGCATCCTTGCCCCCTTCCCCAGTACTTCCTACTGCTCCTTGTCATCTTTCTGCTAGAGATCATCGCCGGCGCCCTTGCCTACGTCTACTACCAGCAGGTGAGGGGCGTGGGCGGGCCACACTGGGACACGAACACACACAGGGACGTGCTCATGTACAGATGACTCCTACCCCCCAAGCTCCAGAGCTGACCATTGTGCTGACAGGCCCTGCAGGTGGGGGCTGGGTCACGGGGCGTAGGATGGGCTGCAGGAGTCAACCTGCCCACAGCCCAGGCTGCCCACTTTGGGGCTCCTGGGAGGAGGCAGCTGTTCACAGGATCTGGAGCTCTGTCCCTGCTCCTCCCCACGGCCAGCTGGGTGACTCTCCCGGCTCACCTGATACCTGATGAGCCTAGTCTTTCCCTTCCCTTGGAGCCCTCCCTTCTCTCCCAACCTCTGTGTGGCCCCATTCTGCCCCACCTTGGAGGGTCTTAGACTTTGCTGCTGAAGTTGTCACCACCTCACCCCTAGTTGAATATGGAGCTCAAGGAGAACCTGAAGGACACCATGACCAAGCAGTACCACCAGCCGGGCCACGAGGGTGTGACCAGCGCAGTGGACAAGCTGCAGCAGGAGGTTGGTGGGTGGCTCAGGCCTTCCTGGGGCCTCGGCGGAGTCCCACCTCGGGTGGCTGGGGTGGGGACTTAGCCGGGCCTGTCCCCCTGCAGTTCCACTGCTGTGGCAGCAACAACTCCCAGGACTGGCGGGACAGTGAGTGGATCCGCTCGGGGGAGGCGGGCGGCCGTGTGGTCCCAGACAGCTGCTGCAAGACTGTAGTGGCCCACTGCGGGCAGCGGGACCACGCCTCCAACATCTACAAGGTGGAGGTAGGTGGCGTGGCCTGGCTCCGTGAGGGATGCTGGGGGCTGGTGTGGCCACATCCTGGGGGGGGCCTGGGGCTGTGGCAGTGGGGGGCTGGAGGACTTGCCTGCCTTCAGCACCCCCATCCCCACCATGCCAGGGCGGCTGCATCACCAAGCTGGAGACCTTCATCCAGGAGCACCTGAGAGTCATCGGGGCCGTGGGCATCGGCATTGCCTGTGTGCAGGTGCGGGCCGTGGGGCGGGGCAGGCCCTGGTGGGAGCAGGGCACACACAGAACCTGGCAGCGGTGCCCACTCGTGCCATCTCCATGCCCCAGGTGTTCGGCATGATCTTCACGTGCTGCCTGTACAAGAGCCTGAAGCTGGAGCACTACTGATCCTGCGCACGCGGCCGCGTGTGCGCCTGCGCACTGCAGCTTCCCGCGGACTACTGAGCTACTACTGACCGCCAGGGAGCGCGTGTCCCTGGAGGCATCTCCCTCCCTCTCCCTACCTGCTTTGCCAGGGTGTGGTCTCATGCCTGTGCCTTCCAACACTGTCATCACCGTGACCTCTGGGGCCCCCACCACCGGAGGGAGCTTCAAGTGCCTTTTGCTGCACACCAAAGTCCTGGGGCCTAAGGCAGGTCTCTCCTCCTGCGGTGGGACTGGTGGGGGCCTGGTCTGGCTAGGAGAGTTGGGTTCTGCCAATAAAGTGCCCCCCTCCCACTGGCCACCTCCTTTGGGGGAGGTCATGGGACCTCAGGGTGCTTCCTGATGCCTGTGTTTAGTTGGAGGAGCTGGTTTGGGGCAAGTTGGGCAAAAATGGGTTAGGCTTGTCCCCCCTAGGGTGCTCCCAGCCCCCTGGACACACCCCCCACAGTGGTCAGAGGCAGGCCTGGGAGGGGCACTGCTGGGTGGGGTGGGCGCAGAGGGTGCTGGACAGCCGGCCGTGGGTGAGTTCCATGTGCCTGCCACCCACCCTCCTGGGGGAAGCCCTGTCCCCAGGGTCCCACATGTCTGCTGACCCCTCTGCTCCGGGCTACCCTGCTCTGCCCAGCCCCTGCTTTAGCTCACAACTGCCACATCTAAAAGGCGAGTGTTCACTGCGGGCCGCATTCGTGGGCAGGGGTCTTGGCCTCACTGCTGACCATGGAGGGCTAGAACAGCACTGCCATCTAACAGGTGTTCAATAAACGCTTGTGGAACAGGTAAACTTACTTCAGTGGTGACAGACGGTTCTGGTCCTCAGGGCCCCTGCGTCCAGCAAGGTGGACAGATCTACCCACCCACTGCCATGACAAAGGAGGACACATTCTGAGGACACATTGACAGGACTCGAGCGGGAGGAGGCCCGTGGCAGGCGTAGCTGAGCACAGGGCCTGAAGCAGAGGCTCACACACTCTGGGATGGGAAGATGGTGGGGAGGCCTGGGCTGACGAGGTGTGTGCTGGCAACGAAAGTCAGGGCTTGGCCACCATAGCCCCCAGCCCAGCTCCTGTCCCCAAGGCTTGGGCTGTCCACCCCTGGGCAGACCACATCTGCCTGCCGGTTTCCTCACGTGCAGTCAGAGGACCCCATTTCAGATGTCTGGCCACAGGCTGGCTCTGAAGGTGCCTGGAGAAGGGTGCCTCCCTTGCTCCTGCCTGCTGGAGGGCACCAGGACCCCCCTGACCCCTGCCCAGGGTGACAGCTTCTGGCTCTAAGCTGCAATGGGACTTGGAATAGGACTGAGGGAGGCCCTGGGAGACAGCTCTCTGGGCTGGCTGGTAGGATTAGATGCTAATGCCCAGGCCTGGGGCTCAGCCAGCCCTGACAACCACTGGAGCCACCTCAGGGCCACCCTGACTCACCGTGGGTCTCAGGGCTGGTTGTGGAGACTGGGCACTCCCCCTTCTCTCTGAAGGAACTTGGCTAAGGGGAAGGGCCTGCTGGGCTTGGGTTGAGCCTGGAAGCTTTCCCCGGCAGGGCCCTCAGGATGGGAGCAGTGACTGCAGCAGGTACTCTATCCAGGGCCCAGAGAACCTGGTGCTTTGGACCCTGGGGAGAAGATGTGGGGACTTCTGTATTGGCTTTGAGCACCCAGAGCACGGAGGTGGGGGTGGGGGTGCTGGTGTCCCCAGTGCTCTCGTCTGCCTGTGCCTTTGCTGGGCTGAGAACACCCCCTACGGAGGCTGAGTGGCTCCTCCTCTCCCCATGGAGTAAGTGGCCTCAGGCATGAGGCGGGACGCCAGTGCACTGCACGGTAGCGGGGAGTCTTGCAAAGCCAGACCAACTGACAGCACCTCGGTGTGGTCCTGAGAAGCTCTTTACTGGATGATTCCTGCTAGAGCAGGAGACACACACACACACAGCTGCAGGCGGGGACTGGTCCCAGCTACCCACACCTCGGGGGGACGGACTCTGGGCAGGACACCAGCCGCCGTGACTGCTCGGTCACTTCTCCAAGGGTGCATAATTGAGTAACTTCTCGATCAGGTCCACGTGGGCTAGCAGCATGCGGCGGCAGCAGTAGCGCTTCAGGCCCAGCGCGTCCAGGGCGTCCCTGCGGGCAAGAGAGGGCTGTGGTTTGTCCATCTTGCGGTCCTGGGCGGATGAGGGCCTCAGGAGGCCGCTGTGGCATCTCTCCTCAACTCTGCTCTCACCTCAGGGAGGGAGGTGTCTCTCCAGGGAGCCACCTCTCCCATTTCCCAAGCCAATTAGCATCCCTAATTTCCCTAGGACCAAGCCCAGTCACCCTCGAGGCCTCCAGAAAATTCTCACTGTTGGCCCCAACGTGCCGAGATGGCAATTTGGGAAAGGAGAGGTCCCCGCCTGGGCGATGCAGGGAGGGGTCCTGCACAGGATGCCAGGCACTCAGTCACTGCTCATTCTAGCAGCCTCCCCAGGGTCTACCGCAAACACTGGGCCCATCTACGGCTTCTCCGTTCACCCCACTGTTGGGAGCTGAGCTAACTTGGCGAGCTCTGAGATAAGTGGCACTAAACTATTTTAAACACTCAGTGTTTTCCAAGAAGGGAGTTGTGAGAACTTCATTGTTTTGCAGGATGAGTAATTTGGCTGACCTTGGGTCTTGACTGCTGTGTTCTCATTGCGATGCTATAAGTAGTGTGTTTTAAATAAACTCGGGGACACAGACACAGCTTGTATCTGTGCTCCCTCCTGCAGTTGTCTGTCTTCTTTCTTTTCCTCAGTCCATGCTCCCCCTTTCAGGTACCCTCAATTACTTCGTCGGCTGGCTCCGACACCCCACACACCCACAGAGCTGAGAGCCCTCCTCGTGCTGGCACAGCCCAGACCCCGGGGGCTCAGGTGTGATCCGGACAACGGCTGTCCACACGGTGGCCAAGGGTGTGACTCTAGTGGGGGCCAGACTCGGGCAGCAATGGTAGTGACTGCAAGGATAAGGGGCAAGCACAGAAAAAGGACCCTGCGACAGTCTGACGAAGACAGCGACGTGATCAGGAAGCTGTCCTCCGTCCTAAAAGACAAGTGAGCTTCCAAGACATGGGGGTGGGCCTGACAGCAGAGGGAAGAGGTGGGGGGCAGACGGACAGCGAGCAGGCGGAAGACCGAACTGAAGCGGACAGGCACCGCGAGCGGCCGGGACACCTAGAAGCTCCCAACGCCAGCGGCTTGATGCCAAACAGCCCTCCTCTCCTCGCACCGCGGGGGCCACGCCCTCCTGCGAGCAGGGCTGAACGCGACCCCGGGACCGAAAGTCCCTGCAGGGTCACCTGGAACCGGATGTGAGTGCCGCCATCGGCACTCGGCCCCCGTCCCCGCTTCCCAACGGCGCCAGAGGCCCCTCCCCGCCGACGCGGCGCCTTACCCCTCGGTGTACTCGGCCTGCAGCAGCCCCAGGTAGGCCTCCCACTTGTTGCCGACAATCTTGCCGCAGGTGAAGCAGCGCACAGGGATGATCATGGCGACGGCGGAGCAGCGGCCGCGATCCCGGCTCCCGGCGGCGCTTCTGCGCG